ACCACTATCATGAATTCAGCATCTGTCCTTCCAGAATATTTTAAAAATATTTACAAGCATGTGTGTTTTCATGAGTAAGCGGCATACAGTTTTGTGTGTGTGGTCCCACGTGGTGTGTAGCGTCCTCTGACTTGCTTTCAGGAAACCTTGTGTTTTAGATCCCTCCATGGAGCGGGGCTTGTGGAGAGAAGGAGCGTCTGCCAGTCCCCCTCCCTGCCCCCGTTTCCTGTGTGTGTGAATACAAAGACCTACTGGGAGTAGCCGGCAGTTATGATTCCTGTACCACATGCCAGGCACCCTCTGTTTTCTCACTGAATCCTCACCCCAATTTCACATAGGAAACTGAGCCTTCAGGGCACTGTCCTTCGCCTGAGGCCGTCTCGTAATCCACTCTTGTTGGGGTGTGGTCGCCAGTCCTGGAATACAGACACCAGCACGTGGTGAGGTGTTGTAATACTCTGGGACCCGGATGGCAGTGAATAGTCAGTATCCCAGCCTCTCAGTCATTTGAAAGTTTCCCTTGTGACCTTAGATGGAAAGAGCACCAACAAACCACCATTGAGTCTGGCTTCTGTGGCTGACTCTGCACCTGGCGGCTCTGAGATACTAACAGATGACTTACCTTCTCTTGCCGCCTCAGTGTCCTGCCTCTGAAATGGGACTACAGCTGGCTGCCCACCTACTGAACAGACTGTGTTTGGAATCAAATGAGACAGATCATGTTTGGGAAGCACTTGGGAACTACACAGTGGTCTGCAGAGGGGGGCTTTCAGGAGGACAAGCCATAGCTCCCTTTTTTCATGCTCCTTATCAACAGCCCACCTGCCCTAGTTCAGCCACATCCCCATGATTATATTCATTACAGCGTTTAATCCTCGTTCCTTAAGCAGCAGTGCTAGAGAGATTGTTTTAAGCCTCTTGCTTTTCTAGCTTGTTTAATTACTACTATGGCAACAATATCATTTTTTAGCTTCATATATATCATACCTCAGCCTCGTTGTGGGTTAAATTAAGTTTTATGGGTGGGCCTGGGAACCCAATCAAAATTTATAGCTTTATTTCTCTGGAAAAACTCCTTGTAAGCTTGAAACAACTAATTACAAGGGAAGTTTTGGAACACCACCAGTTTGTGAGCTGGGACCACTATTATTGTTTACATTGTTTTCTAATTAGTCCATGGAAGGATAGCTGACCTCCCCACAGAGATCATAAACTTCTTAAGGGCAAACACTACATCTTGTGTGGAGCCCCGTGATACCCAGCTATTTTGTCTGCCTCCAAGAAACAGGTGCCGATGGCAGGGAGAGGGGTGCCTTGGGTTCTCTGGGGACCTCTGCAGCAGTCATTAAATCACACACTGTCCACTTTGATGACTCAGAGACAAGGCCCAGGGAAGCGGTGTGTCTTGTCCAGGTTCATTGAGCTGAACGGCAATTACAGTAGAATAGATGTTTTACATTTGTGAATGTACAGGGTCCTGCACAAATAATGCCCCTTTTTATTACAAATGCTTTTATTACAAAATCATAAGCATGTTAAATTCTGTAACATAACATTATCATACTCAAGCACACCATACGACATCCTAGGTGAAAGGTTCGAATTAAAACATAAATTATTACACCTGTATTATAACCCTACCAACCACATTCAAGCAGGCGTTACTTCTGCTGGACCCTATATTTACTCTTCACCAAAAATTTTTTGATAGCTGTTGTTATTACTTGATAAAGAGACGGAAGCCCAGAGAGGTTAAGCAGTCTGCTTAAGGTCACAGAGCTGAAGTACAAAAGTGAAAAAGTAAAGTACAAAAGTGAAATGCAAACTCAGACAGCCTGGCTCCAGAGCCCATGCTGTCAACTACTGAGCAATACTACCTCTAGTCCATGAAAGACCAGAATTAAAGCCTGCTGTCTTACCTGTCACCTCAGTGATCCTCTCAACTGGAACTATCTTGTATAATAATACAGCGATGACATTTTCACTTCATGTCATGGATCGGTATTAAAGCCTTAGGCAGTAGTAAAATAGGTACTTTTTTTTTTAATGATTACATATACTTTCTACCAAATTCAAACAGTACAAAATTTCATTAAATATCTCTTAAAATTCTCCTATTCAAAGCTAAAAACTTGATCAACATTTTGGCCAGCATTCCTATAGACATCTTTGAATTCCCATGTGTGTAGGTACACGTTTACAGTGTAATATGATTGGGGCCTCATTCTGTAACCAGGGGGTGGCATAATGTCTGCCAGCATTGGACACATGAGGAAATTACAGCTCAGGAAAAGGGACAGACTCCTCCAGTGGGGAGCCAGTGAGTGCCAGGGGTGGGACTGCAAGCCTCTGTGGGTGTTTACGGTTTGGGGAGTAAGTGCTCAAAGCAAAGACCGCATGTATTCTTTGACACCCGCGGCTCCTGTTCAGGCAAACACTTCCTCCCAGCCCCCAGCCGTCCCTCTGACCTGAGTGGGTGCCACGCCCCTGATACTCCCTTGCCTACCACCAAAGGGATCAGGGTACTTGCAAATAGGAATATTTCTACAGCTCCCAGCAAAAATGGCAGTCCAGCTCTTGAGCGGACTAAGCGATGGTGGCAGTGTACTGGCCCTGTGAAATCTCGGCTGTGGCAGCCTCCTTTGAGGTCGCATAGTGATTGCAAATGTGGTTCAGACATGACAATGACATTCCAATGCCACCTTTCCCATCGAGCAGCATTCAAGGCTGTTTTGAAACAGTTGAGGGGAAATGGAATCTGATACTTAGGGAAGGAGAGATCCCCAATACCTCATTCTAACAACCTTCCCTTCCTCCTGATACTTTGGACTTAAAAGATTGGTATCCAGTTTTGCTGAAAATGAAATCACCTATTCAGTTCTCAGGCTGTGTTAGTGAAAATGAACTCTGCTGTGATTAGATATTAATGTAATGTAATGGAAGATTGGTATTCAATTGATGGCTTTGGATCTTATTACTCCACAGTTGCTCCCTCCTGCTCAAGCTGCTGCCCTGACTCCCCAGCAAGCCCCAAGCCCTTCACACCAGCCCAATGCGGAAGCCTAGGGTCCCATGTGTCGGGGGGAAGGGCGGAGAGGGGGGACAAGAGAGCAGCAGCCAGTGAGAGAAAGGCGGCCCCAGGGAGGCCTCACTTGCTTCCCTGGGCCTCATCCTTGTTGGAGGAGGAAGGGCTGGGCCTCGCCCAAGACCAAGGGTCCTGCCAGCACTTTCCGAGCCCCTAGCATGTTGTCGAGGACCCTGAGCTCACAAGTATAAATTTTCACGTTTACATCCAGAAGCACTTGAAGATTTTTTTGATAGGCCTGGGAATAGAAAGCTAAGAGCAAAATCTTCACCTCCTCTACTCCCTCTCCTCTCCACCCCAATCCTTTCTGTGAAACAGACTTGAACCTAATAGTTGTCACTGGCTGTTGTCACTTATCCTAGTCCCGTTTCCCTTACCTGGGAAGGTGGTCTGCGAAGCAGGGACTTGACGGGACGGGACGCCCTGCACAGTGTGCGCCCCTCACGTTCCCAGACCTGCCAGAAGGACACAAGTCTGTCACGAGTTGCGCAGCTTGGCGAGGAAGTACTGGCGAGGTCTGGGAGAGCCCGCGCCCAGTGTCGAAGCCCCACAGGGCCTGCCCGACCCACAGGCACAGCCCACCCAGCTGCATGGGCCTGGGAGGAAAACAGTCCCCCGCCGAGAAAATGGGCCAGGAACGCGAGCTCTGGGGATGGTCAGATGGCATCAGTTTCACATATGAGTAATAGCGGTTTTACAAGGGGAGTGATTTTTCTTATGCTGTTTCCAGAAAACTGCTTTCAGAGGAACACACTTTGCACACAAGATGGTAACGACTTTTTAATGACCTTAAGGGGCCTGGTGTCCAGGCAGCAGTAATTCAGTCTCAGTGGGAGGCTCATAGTGAGGGAGAAGATGGAACACCTGAAACCAAAGAGGGAAAAACAAACCGCAAATACATATATTTTCTTTGGTAGCATTACTTGGTAATTAGACAATTACAGGAAGCAGCTTCCCAGCAGCTGGCATTTCCACTGTGTGAGCGGAGGAGGGATGGCAACAACTGTGAACTCCTCACATTCATTACAGAAATTATTGGCGCTTTCAGTCGTGGGTGCCATGCCCTTCCCCAATGCATTCAGATGAGCTGTGAGCAGTAAGCTGAGAGCAGAGCGCCTCCTCTCAGGGTTTGTTTAAGGCTGGACTTTAAATGAACTGGCCTAGGTCCTGCTGGTCCTGAGGAACCGCCTTTCAAATATTGGGGCTGCTTTGGGGCCCACCCAGACGCAGGGCAGTCATGAGAATAAATCGCCTGGGGGTCCACTTGAAAGCTCGAGAGGGAGGGGTGGAGGCCTGTGGGAAATGGCCTTTTCCTCCCCAGGTGCCATCACTTGCATGGCAGGGCCGGGGGGTGGTCGTCAGGCAGAAGAGCTGAGGTTCACACAGCAGTGAGTAACCCCCGCTTCTGTAAGCACAGCGCGGGACTCTACAGCCCTCCCCTGCCCTGCCCACAGCCTGCCCTGATTCAAAACTCTCCTCTTCCCAGGGCCCCCCAGTGAAGTCACCGCACCCCTCGGACGTGGCCGATCAGCCAGCAGCCCCCTGCGGCAGGCCCCGTCTCGCAGAGGAGGAGAGGTGTCTTATGAACTCCCGCCGATCGCGATCACTTTTCTGTTAGGCCGCACTCTGTCCTGGCAGGAGCTTGGTCTGCACTTGGTGCTTGTCTGTGGAACACTTTATTAGAACCCATGTCAGAACCCATGTAGAAGCACCTTCTTTAATGAGACTGTAGGGTCTGAATGGGATGCCAGATACTTGCTGCCTCCCTCAGCCACACGTTAGGTGCTGCCCTGCCCCTGTCCCCCATCCCTCCTACAACACAGGCCTCCCGAGAACAGAGGCCACGCCGCCCTTCCCCGTGTACTTGGTTAACTATGCAGTCTAACCAGGCAAATGGTTGTGCTTCCTCTCGCAGGTCCTGGCAATCAGTAACCTTTGAAAGACAGCCTGCCTCCTTCATCCGAATCGTTGGAACACACAATACAGCAAATGAGGTAAGGGTCTCCTTTCTTGGAAGACACTGCGGTATTTCATGATGCACAGGTAACCGCTGCACCCTGAGTTAAGTGGATCTGTTTGTTCTACCCGCTAATGGCCTGTTGTTCAGACAGCTTGGTACAGAAGAAAGTCCTGCTCTTGCACAGTGGGGATATCATTATCATTTCTGAATGTCTCTTCACTGGCAAGTGAAAGCCAGCTCCTGTGGCTTTGCTTATTCCTCCTGCCTCTGTGGAACTGGCAACCGCAGGGACCTTGAGAGGTCAAGTGCCCTGTCCTCAGAGTCCTCCGCCTTCCCAGATGACAGCTGTTTCAGAGGTCCCTTGGCCCTCCGAGCGTGGTGGTTAAGGAACCCTGGCCCCACAGGGGCGGTCATGGTGCACAGTTGCTGGTTTGCTGTCTGTCCACTTGGTCCTGTGCCAGCTACACAGAAATGTTCCTGATAGAGCCGCTCCTTCCAGGTCTGCTCCTCCCCTGGCCCCATGCTTGGCTCCCAGGAACAGGCAGTTATTCCAGCGGACCGCGCTGTTTGTAGATGTTCCTTCACCTTGGATTTGATGGGGGAAGAGTGGGTGGGTTGTTTTCCCTCATTTTTGGTACCCAAGGTTAGGGCGGCAGTTGGGTAAAGATGCCTAGAGCTCAAGCATTGCCATGTTGTTTTGTCTGGAATGGAAATGGCTGAGAAAAACGGCACTGGGTTCCTCTGGATTGGAAAAGAGAAGACAATGCCTACAGTGCTTGGAAAAATCCAGACGCTTTGAGTACAAGTGAGGGCGCTAACAATGACTGCACTAGGACAGCAGGCACAAACCAGGACTGAGCCAGGCACGCCTGGGCTGTTGTCCCCTTGACAAGGTAGAGTCCCGTTGGGCTCACAGAGGCACCTCAGGGTTCACTCACATGATTTCCGGTGAGAATAGCATCTGCTTCAATTCTGAGTTTAAAATAATCAATTCATAGTTAATTCTTAAGTCAGAGAAAGCTGGTGTCTAGCCAACTGCGACACTGTTGACTTAGTCGGCTCATCACTTCCTGCTTTTGTACAGACATATGGTTAGTGTGTACCTCTGAAGGACCACTGGTTAAAGACAGGAATGATGAGGAACAGTAAGGTTGAAACTTCAGAGGTAAAGGAAAGGCATAAAAATAGTAACAATTCTGCAATTTTACTTCAACATGGTCTTTCTCAGATCTGTACAGAACCAGCCTCCAGGGCAGGCAACCAGGGCGCCTGTACGGAGCTTCACACCCAGAAGGGGACCCTGCACCGGAGGTGGAATGCACTCCAGCACCATCCTGAAATTCTTAGCAATTTTATCTTTGACTTTTTGTTTATAATGGAAGTCCAATGGGACAGTGAAACACCCACCTGGGTCTTGGAGCCTCAGCTCACTCTCAGGCCTGCCAGGGTTGGCTGATAGGTCACTGTGATCTGTCACATTTGGCAGATCAGCTGCCTTAGTGAGTCAGTTATTGACCAGAAAAAGAAGTTTCAATGTAGTGTTGCCAATTGGGAAGCAGCTTTTAAATCATTAAATAAATAGTAGCCAGGATCATAAGGCAAAACCCATAAAATGTATCATTTTCATAGTATACAAGAAAGCACAAAAGCCCTGGCCGGGTAGCTCAGTTAGAGCGTCGTCCCCATCCAGCAAGGTTGCAGGTTTGATCCCAGTCAGGGCTCATACAAGAATCAACCAGTGAATGCACAAATGAGTAGAACAACAAACTGAGGTTTCTCCCCCCCCCCCCCCGCCCCAACACACATTCTCTCTCTAAAATCAATTTTTTAAAAAAGGCACAAAAATGTTAAAATTCACTGGTCATCAAACATGCAGCACACCCTCACAGAGAATGTTCTTTACTGCAGCATAACTGGGGTCTGGGACTTCATCTGGAAGAAGTAGCATCACTTATCTTAGGTGTGGCGGTAATGTGAGTACGTCAGTGTGGCAAAGAGGTGTGAGGGGCAGGGACTATTTTAAGGGAAGGGGACAACTAGGTCCACAGAACTCCTGGCAGAGGCAGCTTTAGGGGAGCACGCAGATGGCACAGACATCCAGGACAGGGGGCTGGGGCAGAGGCAGTGAACCAGGGTGGCCTGGGGCTAGGACGTACCTGATCCCTAGTCCCATGAGAGTGAGAACCATGCCACCAGAAAGTTGGGGTCAGACCGTCCTTGCCACTGTGGAGGACGTGTGGAGGAGAGGCAGGGTTTCCTCAGTATATCACTGCTTGTTTGCCAAGCGACATCAGTGGCCTCCCTTTAGTCAGAGCCAGAGCCTGAGCCTGTTTCCATTTAGACACCGCATGTTTACCAGCCTGAAGACTTGGGGCTAATCTCAGGAGCGTAGATGGTCCTGTTTTTTAGCATGGATGTAAAGCATGTCTGTGTGATAAGAGAGAGAAATGTGGCTGACTAACCTGCCATATCTCCGGGTAAGATTATTTTCTGCAGGTGCTGCCCCATCCAGAAAGGGAGTGTCCAAGCAGGGAACAGTGTGGAGCGTGCAGTGTGGAGGCTCCTGTGAGTTGAGGAGCATTCAGAAAAGATGGGGTTGGGCTGTTCTAGCAAAAGACCTGCGCAGTGTGTAAGTGGTCACAGCGACCAGCAGCTGTGCAACGATGGCAGTGGAAACTGCCCTGACCTTCAAACATCTGGCTGCTGTTGAAATAGCAGAGGCCTCCCGAGCCAAACGAGATAGGGATTTCCCGCCCAATGCAGGCACGTGTCTGTCTAGCTCCGGCGGCCAGGCCTTCCTGCATGCAGGGCTCGGCATCTCGCTGCTGCAGTTAATTTCTCTCACTTCTCTGGACTGGGGCAGGAGCCGCTCCCGAGCCGGCCCGCAGGGGACGGCAGCCTGCGCAGTCTGCAGAGGCTCAGATTTCTTGATCCTCTGTTTTGGCACGCCTCTGATTTCCTGTGGCATTTCATCCCTCTCCTCTGGGAAGTGTATGTCTGCTGCGGTCATCTGTCTCTCATCTTCCTTTGTGAGCACTGCAGCAATGGATTTGTTTAATGTTTCAGCTACCTTCATGACTTCTGTCCTTGAATTCCCTAATGCCTGCCTCTTAAAGATGGCGCCACTTCCTTCATGACCTCCTGCTCCTGTGTACTCGGTGTCATCCTTGTCCTTTACCCTTGAAGCATTTACTTAGAACATTTTCCTTTCATTCCCATGTACATGTTGTGCGTCATGCACTGCTCCACTCCCTGCTCTGTGTCCCCCATGCTTGGCATACTTCTCACATGTTTCGTGTTTCTCTCCTTTCCTTTCAGACACTTTTTTTGCACATCCCGTGTGCCCGCCCACAAGGGTTCCTTTGTCAATCCGTCACACTTAGCGTTAGGTGGCAGACACATGTCAGTTTGTCTTCCACCACATCCACCCTCCTCCTGCCCCCCTTCAGTTGTTTTCACCCACGTGCTTCCCCACAGTACCTGAGCCAGAAAGGTCCTTTGTGGCTGCTTCCTCGGTCTCTTCGTGTGGTCACTGGGCCCACTCGCCTCAGCTGCTGATGGACTCGGAGCTACACAGGAGGCAGACACTTCTCATTTTCTCTTGTCCGGATGTTAGAAACTGGACCTTGTCAACACCGCTGATGTCACTGGATCTGAAGTCCCAGCTGCAGTGACTGTCACACAGCCCTGCTGGTTCTGACGCCACCCCACTCACGGACCCTTTCATCCCGTTTCATTAATCACCATAGCAAGGCGGCCACGGCCCCTCCTGCCTCCTCACGGAGGGCAGGCCGGACCCACGTGGGGCCTGTCTGTGGGCCCGTGGGTCAGTCCATGTATCAAGAGAAATACAAGTTACGCATGTTTCTTATTGTGGCTTTTATGAAAAGCTGGGTTTGAGAACAAGTTTTGGTGTGATTTTTTTTATTAGGCATTGAGCTTATGGCACAGGCAGCCCCGAGGGTTAAAAAGGGCCGCAGGAAAACCAACTCTGTGGTACAGAAAGACTGGCCTCCTGCCCTCAGGATCCCACGCGAAAGCCTTTGCCAAGTCGATAGCAAAGCTGAGGATGGTATTGACAGTCTGTAGGCAGCTCTCAGCATTCCATTTAGTTATTGAATTTATGTAGCTGAGGAGAGAGGCCGTGTCGTATTTATCTTTATATCCCCGGCACCTAGTATGAGCCAGGAGCGTGTATGCATAGAGTACCTGCCGGCTGAACGAGTGAATGGGTCATTCTGTCTGTCCATCCATCTCTGCCCCTCTTCCTCATCAGTCAGCCACATAAAGGAAAAGATTTAGTAATTTAGTTTCTCATCACTCCAAGGCAGAGTTTCTGTAGCCACGCTGAGGAATTTCTTAAACCAGAAACTTTTGTAAATGGAAAAGTATATATGCTAAACACTGCAGCATCTCCTGGTTTAGGATAATAATAAATTATAATAACTAATATTTACTGAGCACTTACTATGTGCCAGGCCTTTATATTTATTACATTATATAATCCTCATGTGAAGTAGGTTTTATTCTCACTGCATTTTAAAAATGAGGAAACTCAGTCCCGGGTGTTGTCAAAGCTGAGGAGCCCTGGGCAGTTCTCATCGGTGCTGTGGGAGTATGAACGGATACCGGCACTTTAGAGAACAGTTTTCTACCAATGTTGAATATGTGCAACCCACCCGATGACTAAGCATTTTCACATCTTTGTATAATCTCTAAAGAAGCTCCTATACAAGTTCAGGATGCAGGAATAAGGATGCTCACGGCAGCACTATTCATACCAGACCCGCAGGGACCCCACTGATGGTGCAGCTTCCAGAGAAAGGACAAGCAAAGTGCATCACGTGGTCCGAGGGGGGTCACCATCTATGCAAAGGAAAGGTGCCAGGCACAAAGAGTGTGTGTGTGTATGTGTGTGTGCGCGCGCGTAGTAGGATTACATTCATACAAATGTCAAAAACAAGCAAAACTAAGCTATAACATTTAAGGATATGTACACAGGTGGTGAAATATTTTTTAAAAGCAAAGGAATGA